ATATCAAAAAAGTACTCCAGAGTGTTGTTCAGCATGGGGGTGAGTAGAAAATGAAGGCTAATCATGTTTTGGGTGTACTATTCCTTTAAGTATGAGCCTAGTGTTAGATCTGTGCTTTATCTCTATCACACTGAAACAACAAAGAATGATGGCTTTTGTTACCTTTTATTCTGGCAAATTGTAGCCTATAAACTCCCCTTGTCATCAGTGAAAAGTTTCCCTTATAAATACTAAGCCACACTGTTTTTCTCTCTTCATCAGGTGATGGACGTGATAAATCACTGAGTGCTAGGTGACATCGTAAACCTTCCTTGAGCTTCACATCTGTCTACCAGAAGCCTCTCCAGATCTCTGTCATCCGAGTGGCTCCATCTTTGCCACCTGCGATCCTCCGTGGGATTCCCCCTCCCTCCTGCCAGACTTTTCAACTTCACCTCATCCTCACCTCCCCGGGAGGGAGAGAGCAGCAGCCACCATGGTGCTGTCACAGAGACAAAGAGATGAACTGTGAGTGCTATTAGAAGTAGGATTACATGTTCATGACACGTGTGAACAGGAATAGACATGTTCACTGAGGCTCATTACAACAAGCTGCAGTAGTTGGGCTAGAAGCACCAAGGGGTCACATGTATTTTCCTTTTATGTCTGAAGATGGTGGGATTATTCAAGCTCTCCTGAAGGAGTTGTTCAATAGACATCCTTTTTGTCTGTGAAATTGAATCTTCCACAACAATGTGAAATCACATGTGAGCTCTAGGTGCTTCTTCACTTGATAGCTGCTTGGTGAATTTTTTATAACCTGCATGACAGCAGAGAAGGAGTGAGGGGGGGGATGGGTAACAGAGAGGAACTTAACCAAGTGATGGCTGGTTAATGTGGGCAGATTACCGTTGGTTTTTAGTTAAGTTTGTATTTGTTCAAATACAGGAGTCATCGGCGATAATATCATGGGGGGAAATGGGGTTTATTTAGGATGGAAAATCTGTTTAAAGTTTGAACTTTGCAGCAGTCGGTTCATTCACTGAAGCTTTAGTCTAAATTTAGCACTTTACCCATCAAATAATCACCTTCAGTCTTAAAAGGACCAATTTCACAGATATACAAGTTTCACTCCATCTCTTTGTGGTGTCCATCTCTACTTGTGAGTTTAGTCTAGCTTTAGCTTCTGTCGAGGTGATGGTTTCTATAGCAACAACAGCACTTTGCTAGAACTTCTTTTCCTTTTCCTTTTTTTTTTTCTTGGGTTGTATTTTGTTTCTGTTTGTTTAGACAGAAATATAGGGTTAAATGAGTAAATATGACACCTGTAACATCCATCTGTTTTCAGTATTTTAAGGTGAAATGAGTCTCTGTCAAGGAGGAGCTGGTGTTCATCAACAACCTGTTATTCTTTCCCCAGAAACCGAGCTATAGCTGACTATCTTCGTTCCAATGGATACGAGGAGGCCTATTCTACCTTCAAGAAGGAAGCAGAATTAGATATTGTAAGCAGTGGCAAATACTCAAATTAATACATTTGGAGTGGAAAAGTGATTTTATAATGGGTGAGTTTCTCTTTCTGAGAATCTGTTTTGTTCTGTTGTAGAATGAAGAGGTAGATAAGAAGTATGCGGGGCTTTTGGAAAAGAAATGGACCTCTGTTATTAGATTACAAAAGAAGGTAAGAAACACATTTACATACTTTTTTTTAATCAAATAAGTGAAGCCTTTGCTGTCATGTTCTGAAATGCTTTGCTTTCTGGCCTAGGTGATGGAGTTGGAGTCGAAGCTGAACGAGGTGAAGGAGGACATGACGTATGGAGGACCTGTCGGTCAGAAGAGAGATCCAAAGGAGTGGATCCCTCGCCCCCCAGAGAGATACGCTCTGAGTGGGCACCGTGCTCCGGTCACCAGGGTCATATTTCACCCGGTGTTTTCCGTCATGGTGACGGCCTCTGAAGATGCTACCATCAAGGTGTGTCTGGCATTTGATTAGCTGCTCTGAAATAAACTGTCCGTTGTCATGAATTATAACCATGAAATGTCAACTTCATTATAGACGCTCTGTTGCAGCTCAAAGCTAACCTTAGCTTCACAGGACAAATTGGTCCTTTGATTTTGCTTTCTGCTGCTTTATGACAACTGTTTTATCTGCTCTACTGATTCAATAGCTTATTGGTGTTCAGCTTGGTTTTTAAGCCATAAATATGCTTCTTAACAAAAGTTGTCACACCAGTTTCCTTTTCATGCTTTGGGATCTCCTAACCACAAATTTCAGTGTATTTTATTGACTGACGTTTTATGGTTGGACTTTGAGCCATTCTAGCACAGTAGTAGACTTTGATATATGTCCTCTGTTGGCTGCATTTTTATGGTCATTGTCATGAAGGAAAATTAACAACCTGCTCTCTGTCAAAAGCAGTGATTTGCAGTGTTGGTGTTACCCC